GCTAGTACATAATAATATTTAATTATTTATTTGTTTAACTTCTGATTTGGTTATTGAATTGGCTATTTCGAAGAATTTACTAGGAGATTTAAATAAGGAGATAGCAATACTACAGTCCCCACTAAAAAGAGAGGTCGGCCCACAGAGAGCGAGATAGAGATAAGAAGGTATTTGACTCAAGTTTTTGTTCCAAGTCTGGCCTCCATTTTTATCTTTAGCTTCATGCTTTTAACGTTTCCAATCCAGACGCGCTTCTGATTCTGCGATACGATTGGTCAAAACAGCTGACGTACGCTGTTGAACGACCAATCGTATCGCAGAATCGAGAAGCGTGTCTGGATTGTTGATGTTAAAAATTACCGTAATCGGGGCTCTGGTCAGGCTATAAAAGAAATTATCAAAAACCACAGATATGGATTAGAGTAGATACAACAAGTTGATCGTCAAAGCGTGCCATTCCGATATGTCCAAATGGACATACATGGTCGAGTGATGTTCATGTAATCCGATTACAACAATCGGGTACGATGATTTTACGAGGACAGTAGTACGAACACGGTAGAAAGAAGAAATTATTTACGGATTGAGAATTATAATTAACAGCACAAGTAACAAATAATTAATTAGAATAAAGTAGCAGTAGAAGAAGTATAAAGTAGCATTGTTTTTAATACATATCCTGCGATGTATTCATAAGAGTTAAAACCATGGTCCCTGCATGTGGTGCACTCATACCGATCCCAAGGTACCGTACTTACTCATAACAATAAGACACACACTGATGCATGTATTCATGCACTTGACAAATTTATGTCTTGAAACGCTGGTAGGGTAAAAAAAATAACGAGATTTGACGATTTCTAAGAATTAATTTATTTTAAAAAAGTATATAAAGATGTTTTTGGTTTTGTATTTAACAAATTATCAGTTTTATCGGAATTAATTAATTTTCGAATGGAGTCACACGATATCATTCGATGACTTTGCGAATGCAGTACGATACGATGATACGATTACTTTTACGTTGCGGCAATCACTAAAATTCGCTAAAATGACACTAATGACGTTTAAAAAGTGGCACGCTCGGCTTCAATTTTTAATAAATGTAAAAATGCGTAGTTTTGCCAATACGTTTTTTTTTCATAAAGCTAAGTCAGGTACCTAGTTTTGAAGATATTTCTAAACGACAAAATCTCGGGCGTCGTATACATAGTAGTAATAATAGTGTATACTGCGATCACTGACCTAACTTCTTGATTTGTATATTTCGACATTTTCGACGTTATACAGTGCACTCTGTCTTCCGCGTTCACTGATCTAACTTGTTTTATAATTCTTCTTCTGCTACTTTATTCTAATTAATTACATATTTGTTACTCGTTGCTGTTAATTACAATTCTCAATCCGTAAATAATAATTTCTTCTCTCTACCGTGTTCGTACAACGATCAACTTGCTGTATCTATAACCACAGATATGGATTAGAGTAGATACAGCAAGTTGCTAGTCAAAGCGTGCCATTCCGATATGTCCAAATGGACATACATGGTCGAGTGATGTTCATGTAATCCGATTACAACAATCGGATACGATGATTTTACGAGGACAGTAGTACGAACACGGTAGAGAGAAGAAATTATTTACGGATTAAGAATTATAATTAACAGCACAAGTGACAAATAATTAATTAGAATAAAGTAGCAGTAGAAGAAGTATAAAGTAGCATTGTTTTTAATACATATCCTGCGATGTATTCATAAGAGTTAAAACCATGGTCCCTGGTCCCTGTATGTGTTTTTTTTTTTTTTTTTATGTGATAGGAGGCAAACGAGCAAACGGATCACCTGATGGTAAGTGATTACCGTCGCCCATAGACACCCGCAGACCCAGGGGCGTTACAGACAGGTGCGTTGCCGGCCTTTAAGGTAAAGATACGCTCTCACTCATACCGATCCCAAGGTACCGTACTTACTCATAACAATAAGACACACACTGATGCATGTATTCATGCACTTGACAAATTTATGTCTTGAAACGCTCTGGTAGGGTAAAAAAAATACGAGATTTGACGATTTGTAAGAATTAATTTATTTTAAAAAGGTAAATAAAGATGTTTTTGGTTTTGTATTTAACAAATTATCAGTTTTATCGCAATTAATTAATTTTCGAATCGAGTCACACGATATCATTCGATGACTTCGCAAATGCACTACGATGATACGATTACTTTTACGTTGCGGCAATCACTAAAATTAGCTAAAATGACACTAATGACGTTTAAAAAGTGGCACGCTCGGCTTCATACAATTTTTGACACTTGCTGCATCTATAGTTCCAAAATACAGAGCCCCGATTACGGTAACTTTTAACGTCAACAATCCAGACACGCTTCTCGATTCTGCGATACGGTTGGTCAAAACAGCTGACGTACGCTGTTGAACGACCAATCGTATCGCAGAATCGAGAAGCGTGTCTGGATTGTTGACGTTAAAAGTTACCGTAATCGGGGCTCTGAACTGTCCTGTATATGACATTGACAACGGGGCGCCACCGTCAATACCGGATCGCTGGTTCTGATTTTTGCCATGTTGGAAACCATATAGTTGAACGATGGTAGCGCCCTCCTGTCATTGAGTTTGGTGGGACAGTTCAGCGTGGGTCATCTATATCCATATCTGTGTCAAAAACAATTATTATTGCGCATCTAGGAATGACACCTCCTTAAACACACCCTCGAAATCGCATTTTCAAACCAGGAGGGCGGCGCGGCCATTTTGTTTTTCCGTTTTTTTTCTCACATTTTTGTACACCTTTTGGCAACCTCTACCGAACCCCAAAAAAGAAAAATTCAGGACCAAACTACCAAAGACAAAAAGTTGGTGTGTCAAAAAAGGCCGCCATTTTGTTTTTTGGTTAAAAAAATCTGAAAAAGATGTGTGTTGAAAAATCTAGTTTAGAACAAGCACTGTCAAAGCACCCCCTTCCCCTTTAAACCCCCTAAAAATACCCCTGATCAGTCAGTCTCTGAGTAAACCCTTGGTTAATTTTACGTTTGGGTAAGGTTTTGGGGTTTTTACTCATGTGTTTTGGGTAAGCTTTGCTTTGTGCCTAGTTTGGGACTAAATGGCGCAGTGTATAATGACTAAAAATATGTATTTAATAACTAAAATAAGCAGCGTGATATCTTACTATCCTACTAATATTAGAAATGCGAAAGTTTGGATGGCTGGATGTTTGTTGCTCTTTCACGCAAAAACTACTGAACGGATTTTGATGAAACTTTACAGTATTATTGTTTATTACCCAGAATAATTTATGAAGATCTGTGGCAAACTAAATTTCACGCGGGTGAAGCCGCGGGCAAAAGCTAGTAATATTATAAATGCGAAAGTTTGTATGGATGTCTGGATGTCTGGATGTTAACAACATGTTTGTTACTCTTTCACGTAAAAACTACTGAACGGATTTTGATAAAACTTTAGAGTATTATAGTTTATATCCCAGAAAAACATATAGGCTATAATTTATGCGATCTGTGACTGTGACAAACTAAATTTCACGCGGGTGAGCCGCGGGCAAAAGCTAGTGGATAATAAATGTACTAAATCACTGTGATCTAAATGCTGACAGCAAGTATGCCATTTTGTAATATTCCAGAACATCCTAGTTCCCAGAATTACCGGGACTGCTGCACGTGAGAACCCCGATGCAATCGACCCGCGCGCGCTAGCAGCGCTCTCTGTCTGTTTTTATTGATTTGTAGTATGTAAAATGTAGATAGATTGTTTCAGTTTAGTTCAGGTGACATCGAGGTTAAAACTGGAGTCGCCATTTAGCAAATTCGTCTTGACAACAAGGAATAAAATTTTGTGACCGTTAAAGGTCTATCAGCCATGTGCCTTTCTCTACATAAATACGTTTAATTCATGTTAAATACAAATTAAAATAAAATTACTATACTTTAACGGTGTTTGAAAGTGATTATGGTCATGGCTACGTATTACACTATGAAATAGCGTCTCCTTCGGCCGAGTGAGTTGACGTTTTCGAACGAAATTTTGATTTCCGAACGAACACGTTGAAAAAACTTCTCTTGTTGCGTTGTGCGAAGAAGTAGTAGGCAGCTATCAGCACAATTTTCGATAATAATTCCGGAATATTATAATTTCGAAGTGTGCAACTACTCTAGCAAATGCGTACAAGTGATATAAGTGCAGTGAAAACAGTAGAGGCAAAATGTGAAAAGTGAAGTGAAAGAAATGTTATTAATTTGATACCTTTCTATTTTCTACCTACATCTTGAGCAACAAGAGATTAATATACCCGCTTACAATGCCGCTCGATCATGATATCTCGCTGTACGACAGCACTCCCGACTCATTATTCGACATATGCATGGATTTCATCGTTGACAACTTGAATACTATGACAAAATTAGATCCTCCCAGCCGATGGCGTAAACTGAAAGACGATGTCATATTGCCAGCTGAGATCTGCGAACGGTTCCTGAGCGCGTACCAGGCCACCAACCGGGTGAACGACAACATCGCGAACCTGTTCCGCGACCGCTCCAGCACGCGCCTGCAGAGCGTGCGTCTGCGCAACTCGCGCATCACCGACGAGGGCCTCAAGTGCCTGCTGGAGCACAAGCCCTACGAGGTCGAGCTCGTCCAGTGCGAATATCTCGCCCAAGGCTCTCTAGACATCATAAACAGTAACAGCGAAAATCTTATCTCTCTTAAATTTGGACCGTTGACTACTATTATTTCACACGATGAAAATATATACAGACAGAGGGGCTATATAATCAACGCACCCAAACTGAGGAGGCTGACGATCCACTGCAGGAACCTGCCAATATTCCCGTTGCTGCTTCTGAAACCTCTGGCTTGTCTCACACACTTGGACTTGTCAGAGTGTTCTTCTTTGGGCTCTATTTGGGCTCTCAGTGAATTAAACAACTTAATTTCCCTCATCTTGTACAGTGTACATTGGTCAAAAGATATCATTGACTGGATTACCACATTAACATCTCTGCGGCACCTTGATATATCTCAATCATTTGAGAGACTGTGCAAGTATCTGAATCCAAATGATGTTTTGTCCAGGATTGTGACAAGCTTGCCACACCTGGAGTCTTTGGATATTTCTGGAACTAACTTGGCTGGCTCCGGAGCTGCTACAGTAATGACTGGATCAAATTCACAACAGCAAGTGCGTTGTGATATACCTGGTCTAGTGAGCCGTGTTGACCGTCCTTTGGAATTCCTGGGCTTGTATGGTACTCAACATGGTGCTTGTAAACGACATGACATACCTGCCAAAATGGTAAAAAAATATTGCATCTTCAAATCACTTATATGCAATATTGCAGAGGTGTATCACATTGACACCTTAGTTTTCTTGTTATGATGTCAATGTATACAGGAGCGGCATAGTGACTAACTAGATAACTTGTATTTTATTTGCCTGCCTTACTAAAAAAGTTACTTGTATATATGTTACGGTTAATGTGATAAATTGAAAATTATTAATAATAACCGGTTATTATGAATAATTTCCGACAGTCGCGGTGAAAGTTATAAATTAATCACATTTAACAGTGATTATTTAATAATTCAACCTTAGTACTAACAAATTTCATAAAAGAGAACAACATCTTGTGTACGTGCTCGTGTACAGCCAAACTTTTGAACGTTTTGATATCATATATTAATATAATTTGGCAAAATGAGTTTGGAATGTTTCTTGCATAATATTACTTTTCCATGATGCCTATAACATAATGTTTTGATTTAAAGTGAAAAATAGGTTAAGGTGCGGCGGGGGTGGCCCTTGGGCCACCCCTAAGCCGCCTATTTAGTTTTATACACACATAAATGACCTCATATTAATGACATTTACCAAATCATGCGGTAATTATTCATAATAACCGGCGATTATTCATAATTTTCACATTTATCACTTTGACCGTAACATATACAACTACTAAAGGCTAATTGTTATTGCAATTTAAGTTTATTCAGAAGGCAAATTAATCTTTCTCATATTTGTCTGTAAGTGTTTAATAACAAAAATACAAAAAATTTTGCAATCCAAATTAGCACTTAGAAGAATCACAAAACCACATTCCGCTCAGCTACATTATTGTTTCCAATTAATAATACACAATGGAATACATGATTACTTACAAATCTTTTCAATTACATCTATTCATATCGAAGAAACTGAAATCCCAATGTAAACAGTTTCATAAAAAGAATACTCTACCCCTAAGTAATAAAAGTATTGATTAGGTCCAATGAAGATAAACCATTAAACAATATAATAGATAATGTGTTGAGTTTTACCTTTCTTTATTTTCTTATATTGCCTTTTTACCTCTCAAGGTGTCATGGTGAAACCACCTCTGCAATAAGTCAAATGTAGATCACATGCAGGTTGTCAAAATGATTTTATTACTTCATAGATATCTGGTGATGCCAATGAAGAACAAATACTCATAGCAGCTATGGCATACATGGAGAGGCCAGCTATGCTGACGCATGCTCTCAACGACTTGTATTACCTATTCCGCTATGAAAACAATGCTTATGTTGGAAGGGCATTGTCCGTTGTACTCCTGGCTATGGATCGCCATGTCTCAGAAAAGCACATTCAAATATCTGGAAGGTAAATAATGTCAGCACAATATTAATTTCCTTGTATAATGTTTCTGATCTACTAATGATTTCCATTGTATTCTAGTGCTACCTTATTCTACATTGTGAAAGGAAAAGAGAGGGAACGTATTGGTATTAAATTGAAGAGGCGAATAATAACAGCTTTGCTTGATGGCATGGAGGCTCATCTTGGTGATGACACAATGATGAGAAACGGATGTCTCACACTTTGCCAATTTAAAATTCCCACTGATGTGGTAGGTTGACCAGCATTACTTCATAGTTTTTTCTTTATTTCTCACTATGTCATTATTAATCAATACTTGTTGACAGCTCTTTGAGTATGAGCGGGTAGTGCAGATATTGCTGAATGGGGTATCTGATGTCAATCAAGAAGGGTTTGTGCAGCGAATTGCCATTTATTTGCTGAACTCACTGGCCTGCCAAGTCGACGGAAAGCAGAAGCGATTCTTAGGAAATCATGGAGCTATAAGTGTAAGTATTATTTTGCATTTTTAAATAAATTACTTTGGTTACCTATTTTTTTATACTATTTATCAAGCACTTTTAAATTGCCCCCAAATCTTGCCATCTGCGAAATATGTACATAAAAAGCAACTGCAAAATGAATTAAATAAGTTCGATATTAGCAAAATGTTTGACAGTTTTTGAGAATATTGCTAACAAGCTCGCTCCAAAAAATTCTAAGTGCAAGTGCGAATTTACAATGAGTTGGACAGTTATGAAGCTGGGCGTGATAATCTTTGGTTTTTTAATGATCAGAGAACAAATATTTTGTTTTAGCTCTGATTTATACTTTGATTGAATTCTTGGACGAAGTAGGACCAAGATGCGTTTGGTATCATTCCATATTTTGTTACTATCATTATGAACTAGACATAATAAACAAAATTGTAATGCGTGAGATTAAGTAGTAGGTATGGGTCAGTTTGTGCAACAAAGCATGCATAGCCGCATAGGTGTAACTACGCGCCTGCCTGTATCGATCTGCGCGTTTGAAGATACATAAGCGATACATACATACATATTTCGTGAATATGTAGGTGCGTGTTATGTACGTGTTCACGTTCTGAAATTGCATCGCGTTAAAGCCGGCTTAATTTGCGGCACGTCCTGTGTACGCGCGCTGTGTGCGTTGGCTTACACATAACACGATGCTAGCTACTAATGTAATGACTACCTAATGTATTATGTAGGTATAGCCTGACCAGGAACATAAAAACCCTCGCCATGTTGCGGAAATCTAATGGTACTAATTTCTTTTAATGGCAACAATAACTAAAAACTTCATTGACATGTCACCTTGCATGTCAGTCTATTGCTGTCAAAGTGTAAACAATCTTTATTTAAAAATGTGCGCAATTGATTTTGTGAATGAAATTGCTAAAATCTTTTTAGTCGTGAAAGAAAAGTGGTTCACAATGTGTTAAAGTATTTGTCGAAGAGAAATACCAAGGGTTCGGACAATATTTTCATTGAATAATGTTTCCAACAAAGGTTGTCAAATTGACTGACATGTTTATCGTATAGTACAGTCCACTATGAAAATTAGCTGTGGTTTGTTTCAACTACCTATTTTAAAGTTTTTTGTCACTTTCTAAGTGTTGGATTTTATGGAATTGGGAAAGAAGTACCGAGTTTGAAGCGTTCATGAGCAGACATTGCAGTTGAATATTCAAGTTCTGAATTTGATTATTGATGAATAATAAAATAAATCCTACTAGCTTGATTGATGGTTTAATTTAATTTATTTAAACCAGATTACCTATAATAATATGTTTTCGTTAATTTATGAAAATATTAAATTAGCCCATAATCCTGAATCCTGATACATAAAGTTAGCCTATTAATTTAACACAGGTACGACTGTACTCAGTGTTGCACTATCAAATGCAATTGATGCGCCTCTATGCCAGGGTTTTTATGTTCCTGGTCAGGCTATAAAATGTTTTTTCAGTATTTGCATTTACGATGTAACAGTGTTATTGCTATATGCTTGCAATCTCATGCAATGATACTCGCGATTTTTGTAAATGGTATAATATTCGATTTTAGGTAATGCTGTGATAATATTCGTTAGAAGTGTTAAACTGATAATAAATATAATATATGACTTAGGTATATTACTCAATTAAATTATCCACGTTAATAGGACTTTCGGGTTTTTGTACGTTATCAATACTTGAAGATCGTCTTTGAAACATTATACCTTGTTATAATGGGAGCCATGTAGTCTGCTTTCGGCAAATATGTTTTTCATAGGTTGTTAACCATAATAAATACTTTTTGGACGCTGTAACTAAACGCAACAATATCTGACTACTTCAGGCTAGCGCAAATGTATGTGTTGAGATTACGTCTGATCAAAATAATTTCGGTTCATCCGCTCCGCATCCGGTGCATGCATGATGATGCATAATAGTTCATGAACCTTGGGAGTTGACATTAAACACACCTTGTTATCTAGCGGTCTTTAAAATCACGTATGATATATGCCTAAAAATGGTTATTGAGGCAATCAATATTATGCCTAAAAATGGTTATTGAGGCAATTTTCGTCCAGAGCCCATAGTACTTGCTACTGAGATTGATTTATGCAAACCATGTGTTTGATTGTTTCCAACATCATCTTGACTTAGAGTATATTTACATAAATTTATTTGATTTGATTTGATATGCCGCCGACGGCTTTTGTGGCTTTGGCGTAAAGCCCGTGTGCGGTGACCCTTAGTACCGTAGAATTTTGCTGAGTATTCGTCATCCATTATGGCGCACAGAAATTTGGCAGTTTTTAGAGCAGAGTAGGGATTGATTGAGGGAGTTATTGAATAATCCTGGTAATGGCGAACTGCTGATCATATTATTATAATTATGCAACAATTGGCTAAAGTTGATGTCAAAAACATTTGCGAAGAAATTATATTTTATTTATTTTCATGTGTTTGTATTATTTTTATTTCTGTACACAGTTTAAGTTTTATCCATGCCAGTCTGATTATAGTATAAGTATACTCCTCAGCAAACTACGTAATCGCTCTATACAACTCGACTTTCCCAAATGTTGCCAACTGCCCAAAAAATGCATTTGAAAAATCAGATATCTGAAACTTTTTACAAAATGGCCGCTCACTCGGTCGCCATCTTGATTTTCTGAATTTTCGGATTTTTCCCATAATTTGGGTCGTATAACCGACTAAACACCCATTTTTGGATTTTTTCTGCCATATCTCCTTCTGTCCGTCCTTTTAACTTTAAAGACACCCATGTCGAAAAAAATAATTTTCCCCGTAGCTGCCAGTGTTGCCAGGTTATCGAGATGAAAATGGTCAAATGTCATTTGTACGACCCTTTTGCAGGAGGCGTCATCCAAATTTTTGACCGGAAGTCGTTATTTCCACTTTCGACATTTTTGGACCAAATCTCCGAAAGCATGGCAACACTGGAGAAATTTCTTCACCCAAGCGACACCTCTTGACAAGACACACAAACGCCTCATACAACTCGTCTTTCCCAAATGTTGCCAACTACTCGAAAAATGTCACCTTTCAGTTTTAATTTCACTTTACAAAATTCGACAACCGTCATTCAGGACTGATTTTTCGCAGGCAACCCTATACCACCGTGTTCATAATGAAATAATCTTTATTTTCATTTATATTTGATTAAATTATCAGACCGATGCAAAATGCTCTATCAATTTACCTGTTTATACCTGGCAACCCGAGAGTTATGACTGGAAAAGAATAGGCAACCTAACGTTTGCATATTCTATGGGCTTCATACTTTCGATTGGTATAGAGTTTGTTTAATAGTCAAACCGATGAAATATTTAAAAAAAAATCTTTTTTTAATGATTAATTAATCATATCCTGGACTGAAATTTATTAGGCAACCCTTAAGCAATATAATTATTGACATGTTAAATTGTATATAAAATATGTTTCATCAAATAATCATCTCGGTGAAGGTCGTTGTATAGCGGGATCTTAGACTATTAACAAATTTTGAGTTTTATGTTTACCAGTTAGGCCCAGAACAGACAGTGAAACGCAACTGCAACGAAATTGCAACTGCTAGTTACTTTTGAATTGCATCTAAGTTTCTGCCATAGCGTCCGTTGAGAGACCACACATGACGCAACCAGTTTGAAACTTTCAGTTTCAGTTTCATTCATCAGAATCATCAGAAAGTTGCAGTTTCGTTGCAGTTGCGTTTCACCGTCTGTTCTGGGCCTTAGCCCAAATGTTTTTGTAAATGTCTGGGTTATGTGGAGCTTAGAAGTTGTGTAATTATGTGATTGAGGAGGTGCATTGTTACAGAAGATGCTGAATCTGATCTCCGACCGGCTGGAGCGTCGCGTGTGTGACGACGTGCTGGAGGTGGCCTGGTCCACCATGTGGAACGTCACGGACGAGACGCCGCAGAACTGCCAGCGGTTCCTGGAGAACCGCGGCATGGAGTACTTCCTTGCCTGCCTCAAGGTTGGTACAGCTTGGCTTTTGAAGTCACAATCAATACTCATTCTTTTATTGCATAACCACATTAGCACATTCACATTAGGTCTTACAATTTAAACAGTTATACAATGTGGACCCTGTTAGGGCACAACAACTTTAGGAAGGATGCAGAACGACGATCTTATCAGTTTCAAAATAAATTACGCGCTTCTTCTCAGAACTTGCCAAATGTTTGTCTCGAAGCGCTGGTAGGGCAAAAATAGAATGAGACATGTATAGGCTCCATAAGAGCGTTTGACGATTTGTAAGTGCTAATTTAATTAGTCCTACACAAATAAAGATAATTTTGATTTTGATTAATGTACAGATTGAGTTTGGTGGAAATGTCATAATTAAACGATTACATAATCTATAATATAAAAATGAATCGCAAAATGTGTTGGTAAGCGCATAACTCAACAACGCTGTAACGCCTGAACCAATTTTACTAATTTTTTTTTATGTTCGTTGAAGTCCAATTAAGGTTTTAACGGCGTGATTTGCTAAATTCAAAACGGGGTCCACGAGTACGAAGTCGCGGGCGGCCGCTAGTTATAAAATAAAAATAAAATTATTAAAGTAGGTATTATAATGAAAAATATTGGTTAAATTGTGTAATCTATTTTAACCCTGTAGAATGCTGCTTCATAGTTTACCTTTAGGCTTCTTGTACACGCATAAAATTTTACCGTATCTGCCGCAGACAAGACAATAATTAATTCTTAGTTAGTCAGCGCCGGTACACGGTTCGTGTATTGAAACGACACGAATTCTTGCGTAGGCCCGCGACTTTTCTTAGCGTGTATAAGCGGCCTTTATATGAGGTCAAGTTGTTGCAAACAATAAGGGTTATTTGCACTTTTGGCATTGTCAAAATATAAAACAGGTCATGCTCTTCAAGTAGTTAATTCATATATTATCTTCTATCAGTAGGCAAGCAGTCACAGCATACTTTCAAGAGTCAACACTCAATGATGATTGGGCCAGTGGCGTCATCGTTGATTATGCATAATAATAACAAACTTTGTGCATACTTATGTTTACCAAAGTCCTGTTACTAAATGCACGCAGCACCACACTGGATTCTATCTTCTTATTATATAAAAGAAAGTCGTGTTAGTTACTCCACTTATAAGTCAAGAACGGCTGGACCGATTGAGCTGAAAATTGTCAGGGAGGTAGTTTAGAGCCAGGAGAAAGACATAGGATACTTTTTATCCCGTTATTTATTGCCATTAAGGCGGAACAAAGTTCGCCGGGTCAGCTAGTTATGTATAAAGAGCTGAAACGCCACAAGGGGGATAAAGTAATGAGGGCCCGTCGTGTCATGTCGCCACGCGGGAAGTCGGATCACGCGTTGACACACGCGCATTATTTGACCTGGTTCAAACAGCGATAAGCGCACGGTTGCTGGGCAGTTCTCGTACTTTTGCATCAAATCGTAACCGCACGGTTACCGCCTCAGGGAGAGAAACGACGTCCATCCACAAGGTGGACCTACGACATCATAAAGGTAGCAGGAAGGCGCTGGACGCAGGCCGTTACCAACCGGTCAACATGGAAATCATTGGGAGAGGCCTATTTTCAGCATTGGACGTCCTATGGCTGAAATGATGATGATGTGAGAAACGCGCTAATGAGAACCATGCGGATTGTCGCGTGTCTGATGACCTAGACCTCTTATCGTCTCACCGGCGACCGCAGTGTGTTAACCGTCTCTATTGGATTCATAATCTAATCTAATCTACTAAAATAAACAAATATCAATATTTATGTAATAATTTGATGTATGAATTNATGTTGGGAACTAATTATACGTTCTACTCATATCACTCTAGGAGCTACTTTCCAGCTGGAGTAACGTACACGTATGAATTGGCATGATTTAAGAATTGATATTATTCTTTATTTTAATGAGGGTTTTCGCGAATGAAAGAACGCTAGATGGCGGGACGTGAATGTGGGGTCTGACTGCTGCGTGATTTGTGGATTTTGACATATCTGTCAATGTCATGTCCAAAATAACCAGTCATGCAGCATTTGGACCTCGCGTCTACGTATTGCCATCTGGCGGATTTTTCATTCGCGAAAACCTTCATTGGAGCCCAGTGAAAACCAGCGTCGTGGCCTTCCCCACCGTGGGCCATGGCATATGCTGAGTGGAGTCCCATTGCGATGGGCATCGCTGTTGCGACAGGATAGCACTGCTCAGTTCACTTTTTCTGTATACGTACTCTGTCCTTAACTAAGTGATGTTTATCGTGATAAATGTTTCTTACTTTCTTTCTTTAATTTTCCAAAATCTCGATTAGCCGTATTCACTGTGAATTCCAGAGTTTCCCCGACAAAGAAGAATTGCTTCGCAACATGATGGGGTTGTTGGGCAACGTCGCTGAGGTGGCCGAGCTGCGGCCGCATCTCATGAACAAGCTCTTCCTCACTGTGTTCTACGACTTATTAAACTCCTCCAGTGATGGAATTGAGGTCAGTTTTGTATTTAAAATTGCAGTGAACAACAGGTGATGTGGAAATCATTGGGGCAGGCCTATGTTCAGTAAGCCTAAGTTCACCCGTGGCTGAAATGATGATGATAAACGGGCCTACTATTCCTACCTCTCGTTCCCACCGCTGCAACTCCTGTGTAGCCAGGCTCTGCAGCTTATTTTTCACAAAATCGCTTAAAAGCACGGAAATCTACAGCTTGACTAACAGTAAATACGTAACTAAAGAAGACCAAGTTTGTCCCGATGTTTGTAGTGCAGGAGATATACTTATTTTGGATCTTAATTGTGACCAATAGAAATATATTACAATGTGATCAAGTTTTCAGTCCCCAGAACATGCTAGCTGATATTTTTATTCGAGAGCTGCAAATACATCATCGCCACAGAACATCGGTTGATGCTCGCTTTGTTCAACTGCCACATACATATACACTCAGCGGCACGGAATTAGGCCCAAGCCTAAACAACCAGATATGAGGTCAAATAGGTGTTGTATACCTAAGTTTCGTGTGACATGTTAACAGAACATTTGTGTTTGTTAGTTTAAGAGGCTAGATTAATAAAAAAAATGCGTCTGTTTAACTTTTTTGACTCTAGTAACGCATTTCGTTGTTGGAGCGTAAAGAGTACGGGTAAGTTTAAATTCGATATTAAATGTTGTAAGGGTTTGGCGTTTCGTTTTTTGTTTTTAAATTAATCTTAGGGTTATTCTTGTTTCCATAATTTGAGAATAATGTCCATTCCAGCTCAAGTTACTCAAATAGTGTTGCTTAGAAGTCAAGGGCGTATGCAGCGGGAGATGGCTGAAACTTTCAATTTATGGCGTACAAACTTAAGATACACGTTAAAAAGGCATGACCAGACCGCCTTTTACATAAGAAGACCAAGAAGTGGGGAATTAAGGAGTAAATCAGCGCGCGATGACCCGATAATCGTGCTTGCAATATCAAGAAATCGGGTTCTCACTACGTTTGAGATACGCCAGCGTTTACAAACAGCAAGCCCAGTGAATGTCAGTTAGCACACAATAAGAAGAAGGATGGAGGATCATAACCTGCATACTCGAAGACCAGCTCGAGGACCATAACTTCTCCGATACCTCTGCGAAATGCGACTTACGTTTTCCAGAGAACATCCAAATTGGACGCAAGGCTAATGGAGTAAAGTTCTATGGATCGATGATTGCAGAATCACCTTAAGAGCTCCAGACGGCCGTGGAAGTGTATAGAGAAAGTGCGGAGAAGAGTTACTACGCAAACAGACAGTTTTCATAAAGATTTTACTCCATTAGTCTAACGTACAATTTACATGTTCTCTAGAAAACATAAGTCGCACTTCGCGAAGGTATCGGAGAAGTTATGGTTCTCAAACTGGTCTTCGAGTATGCAGGTTATGATCCTCCATCCTTCTTCTTATTGTGTGCTCACTGACATTCACTGGGCTTGCTGTTTGTAAACGCTGGCGTGTCTCAAACGTAGTCAGAACCTGATTTCTTGACATTGCAAGCACAATAATTGGGTCATCGCGCACTGATTTACACCTTAATTCCCCACTTCTTGGTCTTCTTGTGTAAAAGGCGGTCTGGTCATGCCTTTTTAACGTGTATCTTAAGTTTGTACGCCATAAATTGAAAGTTTCAGCCATCTCCCGCTGCATACGCCCTTGACTTCTAAGCAACACTATTTGAGCAACTTGAGCTGAAGTAATGGACATTATTCTCAAATAATGGAGACGAGAATAACTAAGATTAATTTAAAAACAAAAAACAAAATGCCAAACCTTTACAACATTTAATATCGAATTTAAACTTACCCGTACTCTTTACGCTCCAACAACGAAATGCGTTTCTAGAGTCAAAAAAGTTAAACAGACGCATTTTTTTTATTAATTTAGCCTCTTAAACTAACAAAAACAAATGTTCTGTTAACATGTCACACGAAACTTAGGTATACAACACCTATTTGGCCTCATATCTGGGTGTTTAGGCTTGGGCCAAATTTCGTGCCGCTGAGTGTATTTACCAAAATGTGAAAAAGTGTAAAACAGAAATAATCTAAATTTCTAGAACTAAATGTGCAATTTGCCCAGATACGAGCTCTCCACTGTCATACACCAATATCCAGAGAATGATATAAAGCTCCAAACATAGAAATCTCAGAAGCAAAATGTCTAGAATAATGAGACAAATAACGCAGAACACCCCCATGTATGTTCTACGATTTTGCTTAGTTTAGGAGATAGAGCTAATTTTGTGATTCCTTTACTATTACTACTAACTACTTAACCCTTAACCACTGACGTGTCATTTTGTTACACTAACACTGACGTACGTACGGCATACGTACGTAACTTTGAAGACCTCCTGATGTATCAATAGAGCGTAACTTTTGTGAAATTTGAATTTAAATTATTCACCCTTGTTTATATTAAACAGAGATAGTAAAAAAACATAGTAAAATTAATAGAATAGTATGATATTGGTGAAATCCTCCAGATGTAATAAAATTTAGACAGGCATTTTTCTTTAAATCAACACAAAAATATTCGATAACACTAGGAACTTCTATTTTGGCCATATTAAAGATTAATAACAGTTTAAATCAGGAAAAAATCTCAATAGCAATAATTCACAAATTAAGTCACTTTTTAATACAGTTCATTTAGGAAGACTATTTTCTATAGTCTTTCTTTGTTTGATGACCTGGTCACCAGTTTGCCGTGCTTCAAACTAGCTAGGAAATATGAAAATATGGTATACAATCTTCAGAAGAAGTCAAATCCAAAGCCATGAACTAAAGCTCCTTCACCATCATGATGATTGTTCTCGAAAACCGCAACCGATTTTTTGCTAATTTCTTCGTCATTTTTAATAATTTTTGGCGTAAATGAGGTTTTTTATATATAGACGGCCAAGTAAATAAATCAAAATCAAAAAAAAAATCAAAATCAAAAATATTTATTCAGTTTAGACCACAAGTGGCACTTATGAACGTCAATAGAAAATAATAAAAAAAGAAAAAGGTAGCCCTTATGGGGCACTTTACATGTCTCCTTATCTTTTGGGCCCTACCAGCGCTTCGAGACAAACATATGGCAAGTGCTGAGAAGAAACGCCGGAACAAACTCAAAAATTAGACTGCTAACAATTAAATTTTTCTATGGACCAACATACAAAAGCGATGTTGAAAAAGTTACACTAACACTGACGTTACGTACCACATACGTCGGGTGGTCTAGCTCTCCTACTTAGGGACGTGCTACCTATCTATTTTCTCCAGTCGCACACGCATCTCTGGCCACTAGGAACCTACCAAAAAGGACACGCAAAAATTCCCACACAAAATGAAGTTTTAAACGAAAAACCGTTTGACCGACGTACCACGTACGTACGTCAGTGGTTAAGGGTTAAACTACTTATGGCTGGTTTTTAATTTTTTTCTCACTTTGGAAGTTTCTCTAAGCGTAAGTAAGTAAAAACACTACAAGTGCTCGCCAGATATGATTTGATAGGTCGGATAAGATGTTGTCGCCCGAATTATTTATATTATTTGACTTTAAAAATAGCTATGTCAACTGTTGTTGGTAAGTTATTAAAAATGTCGCGTTATTTTATTTTATGTATTCGGAAAATAAACACCTTACAAATACATAAATTGCATAGATACAACATAGCTGATCAAAGCCTATAGTTTTCAGGTCTATGTAGCTAGTTCGGTTCGGTCGGGTTTCCTCCCACACTGATGTATTGCTCGAATCTGTAACGTCGTATTGCCGGCGAATGTTCCCGATGAGGGGTGCACCTTTTGTTTCTCTATTTTAATAGTGATGTTTGTTGAGGTGAGCTACAACGCGGCTGGCGTGCTAGCTCACATGACATCCGACGGACAGCACACATATTGTATACTTTTAGCATCGGCGATCGGCGATTTAGCCGCTTTTTAGAAGCTGAATGCAGCGACCACATATTCCATACCGCACACTTAAAAACGCCTAATGCGGCAATTCACGCGACCGAACTCATGAAGTCGCAAAATCGCCGACCGCGATGCTAAAAATGTGTGCTGTGGCACTTTGATCTGTGGACCTGTGGTTCTCTATGTTAATAGTGATGTTCGTTTAGGTGAGCTACAACGCGGCTGGCGTGCTAGCTCACATGGCATCCGACGGTCCGCGGGCTTGGACAGTGGACGAGCCGTCGCGCGACGCGGTTCTGGCGCGCGTCGCCGCCGCCGTGGAGCGCTGGGACCTCAAGTCGGAGAGGAACATCAACTACCGCTCCTTCGAGCCGATCCTGAGCCTGCTGCACGCGCACCACACCCCGCAGTGCCAGCACTGGGCGGTCTGGGCCTTGGCCAACTTGACCACGGTCTACCGTAAGTTAATGCAAATTAATAATCAATCAGACGGCCGTTTGGTGAAGTGGTTCGAAACGGACTACTATTCCGGAGGTTGCGGGATTCGATTCCCGCACAGTACAAACATATGTGTGTATGAACATATTAGTTTGTATTGGACTGGGTGTTTTCTATGTATTTACAAAAAAAAAGTAGTTAAGTATGTTTATATCCGTTGTCTAGTACCCAGAGTACAAGCTTTGCTTAGTTGGGACTAGAAGCGCAGTGTAAAATGTCCAAGGATATTTATTTATTTATTTAAATCAAAATATTTATTACTAGCGGACGCCCGCGACTTCGTACGCGCGGACCCAGTTTTATCCCCTTAGGGGTTAAGTTTGAGTTTTTTTTTAGAGTTTTCCCTGAAATTATTCGAACTTTTCTCGCCGTGAAAACCATCCTTAGACTTCAACGAACATTAAAAAAAAGGATTGGTAAAATTGGTCCTGGCGTTGTGGAGTTATGCGCTTACCAACACATTTTGCGATTCATTTTTATATTATAGTAGAATATTTATGTAAGCCCTTTTCAGGGCACTTATACGTTCGAAACATAGCTTGTCCTGCCACCACTTCGGGACAGCATATGGGCTGGCGCTGAGAAGAAGTGGTGGAAGAAACTCAGTCACCTTTGTTGTAATAATCCGACTAACCCCACCTTGTAAGCTAATTATGCGTGAATATCCAATTATAGCAAACCTTCGAAAACACGCAAGTTTTTACTTCAAAATCTTATACAATCTTTTGTAATACATGATTAATCCTTCAAGGCCCGACATGTATACCTCTAAACTCAGTCTGAACTGAGTTACGAGCATTAGAAGTTTGATGATTTTGCATACTAGATTTGCTTTTTGCGCGCAAGTTTTGTAAGAAATTGCAACAAAATAGTGACATTGTATGTGTAAACAAACAATACCATCCATTAAAGGCTCCAGACATCAGTATGCAGCAGAATCAGCGCAATAAAAAAATAGCGCAATATTTTGTTGCAATTTCTTACAAAACTTGCGCGCAAAAAGCAAATCTAGTATGCGAAGAATTATCCGGACTTATTCCTGCCGCCGCTTTTCGCCACCGATCTACCCGACAGCACTTCCACCCCCATCACTTAGATGGTTGGCAGTCCACAACAGTACGTTTCTCTAGAAAGTTCCTGCCCCGTACAACCAAACTGTGGAATGGACTGTCGTCTGCGGCGTTTCCGGACGGATACGACCTGCAAGCTTTCAAGAGGAGAGCGTATCTTCACATTAAAGGCCGGCAACGCACCTGTATCGCCCCTGGGTCTGCGGGTGTCTATGGGCGACTGTAATCACTTATCATCAGGTGATCCGTCTGCTCGTTTGCCTCCTGTCACATAAATAAAAAAATTAGGTAGAATTTATGTATAGTATAGGGAACATCGCCAAAAAGTAAATTATGTATGTAGGTTAAGATGGTAAGTTATATTTTTACTGAAACAAAAAAACTATTTGTTACAAATATCTCGTCCTAAGTGGTGTCCGTTTCCATTACAAACATACGAATATCTTTTTGCAATATTGTATCAATTTTCATTTTGTCACATAAATGTTTGTAAAGAAAAATTAAATTTTTCTACTTCTCCTTACAAAACGGCGATTTCATATTTTAATACCTGTTTTGGAACATTACAGTTAATTAATATGCACTCCCAGCGTTTAATTAATTCAAATTTCCGATATTGATTTAAATCAGTGATTTTTATTAAAAATATTATGCAATAAAAATCGTGATTTAAATCATGCAACCCTTCTTCCAGCCGACAAGTACTGCAGCCTCATGGAGTCGGAGGGCGGGCTGAAGCTCCTCAGCGACCTGCTGGTCCACCCGTCCCCGTACAAGCTCATCAAGGACCTGGCTCGCACCGTCATCGCCAACTGCGCGCACTTCGCCGCACGCTCGGACGCCGGCCCTCCGTCCCCCGGGGCTATGGACAACTAACTAATGGAGTACTTCGAGGATATCTATCCTCTGATGCGCGAATAGCTGCAGTGTATCAGGCTCTTCACATACGCCATCACCATCATGTGCATCGGACTCACCGCCGCGATGTTCTACCTTATCATGTACGTGTAGTGAAAAGTCTGAGCGGTTACGCATCAAGGACAATGTGAGTACAAACGTTTTACGAAGTGCACTCGCGAACTATGTAACTGTTATAGTACAATAAGCCAAGGTAAGGGTTAATATTTTCCCGACGACTCAAAATTATAGCAACTATTTGCAGCTAATAAAATAACTAGGATTGTATCTAATTATTTCGGCGACAGTTTAATTAGCCTCGAAACTGGGCTATTTTAAAAATTTTAATGACGGTGACTTTATTATTAAGGCCATGATTTCCCAAATTGTCGATATTTGACCGATTTTGTTTGCAGNTCAGTTCAGACTGAGTTTAGAGGTATACATACATGCCATAGTAAGTTTGGTTTATTACACTATTTTGTAATCAAAAAACATAGTTTGATCGATGGCCGCGCGAAAAAAAAAAGACGCCACCTTCCATACAAAATCTGGCATTGCCATTAGCGGCATTCATTGCTATGCGGACGACAGCACGGTTGATGCTGCTTATACCGGCTGCGCAAATATCTCTCGGGGGAACGTCATTGAGAGCCGTAACAAACTTGTGTCCGAAATTGAAACCTCCTTGAAGGAGGTCTCAGACTGGGGTCGACGCAATTTGGTCCAATTTAACCCTACAAAGACACAAGTTTGCGCGTTCACCGCCAAAAAGTTGCCGTTTGTCGTATCCCGCTGTTTCGAGAGCACTCCCCTAACTGCCTCAGCCAATATCGGAATCCTTGGTATCGACATATCGAGCGAAGTCCAGTTCCGTGGTCACTTAGAGGGTAAGGCTAAATTAGCCTCGAAGAAACTTGGTGTGCTCAATAGATCGAGAGTCGAGACGGTATTTCACTCCAGCTCATCGTCTGCAACTTTACAAGGCGCAGGTTCGGCCTCATATGGAATACTGTTCTCATCTTTGGGCAGGTGCGCCCCAGTACCAGCTTCTCCCTCTGGACCGCATTGAACGGAGAGCAGCTCGAATCGTTGACTGCCAGGACATTTCGGATCGGCTTGACCCCTTGGCGCTGCGTAGAGATGTATCCTCACTGTGCATCTTCTATCGCATGTATCACGGGGAGTGCTCCGAAGAATTATCCGGACTTATTCCTGCCGCCACTTTTCGCCACCGATCTACCCGACAGCACTTCCACCCCCATCACTTAGATGGTTGGCAGTCCACAACAGTACGTTTCTCTAGAAACTAGTTTACATTTTTGTGATCATTTGCTTACTATTTTTGTCGGTAAAAAGTATTTGTTTGACTTAATATTATCATCTTTATTTGACATTATTGATTGACAAACATTTGTGTGCATGAACATTATAATAATGTTTGTTTCGGGCTGGGTGTTTTCTAACCATAATATGAATGTATTTATTTATGTTATGTTATTTAAGTAATATGTTCATATCCCATAGTACAAGCTTTGCTTAGTTTGAGACTAGAGGCGCAGTGTTAAAATATTATGTCGAAGGATATTTAATTTTATTATTTATTTATTCACTATTTGAAGGTTACGGTTTAATCCAACTTACGGCTTGTTTTTACACTGTGGCGTCATCGCGTCGCGCGAGTGTCAGCGCGAGTGTCAGTGCGAGGTGTGCGGGGGCTGAGGTAACGAATGCACGGCATCGAGGCGGTAAATCCTAGCCTTAAGATGCCTTCATGTTTTAAATATTTCTTCACCTTCGAAAGAGATTATACATGTTTTTTGGATGTCTATTTAATTGAAAATTTAACTCATTTATTTGGGAGCTACTTTTATTTTTTGTCAATACTACATGAAAGCAGCTTAATTATTTAATTATTATTTGTATATCCCGTATGATTATTTTGTCGCCGGGTTAAATACATGCCTAAGATAAGTATTCAAATTATTATTAGACCTTATCAATAGTCGCTCGTCACGAAACGGTGTGGACATTGATGTATTTTTGAACGTTTTCGTTACACGAGAACGTTTTTGAGATTTCAATTAAATTATACACTTCAATTATATACTATTGATCAATTCTGATTGTTCGTACGTGTTAGTGAGTAAGCTGTTTTAATCTCTAGTGATTTATGTGATGATCGCGACTATGTACAGTCGCCGAGGGATGTGCAGTTGGAACCGCTCCAAGGCAGCTAGTTTTAGATTCGAGTGTTTCGATGGACACACCGTTTCTGCAAAAGCAGCTCGAACTTTATGTATTCCGTCTAAAAGATTTATGGAATTTAACTCTTGTCGAGCTTAAACATTTTACTGTCGCCATTGACATTTCGAGCTAGTCAGCGCATTTTAAACTAACGACTGACAACTGACCGTAGCCGAGTACACTGAGAGGCACACACACAACTCACCGTCTCAAGTCGTACGTTTAAAAGCGTGCACTAATAGTAAATCAATCATCTGTCTACAAAACTGTTTCAGGATTTCACCTAAGTAGGTATATTATATTCAAATATCGGTGTTAGTAATAAATAAATAGTGTGAGATAACGATAATATTATGATGATGGATCTATGGACAGGGGAATTATTTGCTTTAATCGTAAAATGATCTGTTTAACATAGATTATGTATTTTTGATTGACACTATTATACTTATTTATATTTTTAACAAAATTAAGTAATATTAATCTTGGTTAAAAATAAGTTGCATAATTTTATTGATGAATACAGCTTTAGTTCATACTGTATTACTCAGTTAAAACTTTAATATATTTTGTTGCAGCTATTTAACTTGTGTATTAAAGTCTATATTATTTGCTTGTAGAAAGTTTTTGTAGTATAATATATTCCTAGTTCGTATTTTATAGACATAATTATACGTAGATGTAACGTAAAATTGTAATAATATCTTCAAGCAAACTGTGGCAAAATGATGTCATTCAAATCACTACATAAATACTACAACTAAGTGGCCACTCGTAGCAAGTCGATTTTATTGAGACTAAGGTAAAACAATAATCTATCCGTATTTTGTAAATAATATTTTCATGAGTGTTTCTAGTAAACGACTTATACACTTAGAATTAGAAATAAGTATATTGCAAAATTTTTAATTATGAAATCAGTAGGAAACCCGAGGGATTAGGCAGCTTGTTACAGCACACGCCAGGTTGGTTGATAAGGTCTATTGGAACACACTGGTATAGGTATTGGATCTGTATAACGCGAGACTCATGTTGTGTTGGCTTTTGATCATTGTTGCTGTGACAAACTGACACCTCTGGTCTGGAGATATTGCCAGTAAGTTTAAGGTTGATGTCATTTTAATGTTGTTTAACGGATACATAAAAAACTCTTAAATGAAAAAAAATATTTATATGGATATGTGTCTATCTATACTCTATGAATGTTCAGAGAGTACCCCGCTCAATAATTCCTGGGGTGTATTATAAGTTCTATGCCGAGGCGGGGGTCCGGGACGCGAGCTCGCAAGGTGAGCTCACTTCTGTAGCTCACCTATTTAAAATATATTCAATGTTACTCCTATATTTAAATGCGCAGTATTGGAAAATCGTGTCATTTTAGATTAAGCACTTTTGAAGTGAGTATACTATGACGATAAATCGATGTGTATTATGTGTCTATAGCATAGTTTACGTTCTCAATATACCTACAAGAATACAAACATACTAATGAATGTTTACTTTAAAATGCAAATAAATGTTGTAGATTTAATCATTGTCAATTTTCTTGACTAAATATCACGTAGTTGTTTCAATATTAACAATTTGCAGTTTTGTCTTTTCTGGAATAAACATATGTGTCCTAATATTACATAACTAATCAAATGATAACATTCGTCTGGCACTCTGTATATTCTGTTGTGAATCCATCCACGTTGTATAGTTCAGAGTTATTTATTTTACTAGCTGTGACTATCAATATATTTTCTACATATGCAGCGTTTTTCGTCCAGTAGTTTTGTTTATCGAATTGAAACACATCTTATAAACTATTCATAACTTTATATGACATTGTATCTTTATACAATATGCGGTCGTCTGTAAGGTATGTTTTGCAATAGAGCTGTATGACCTTATTCGTACCACATAAACTCTACGAAGCAAAACAGATCATAACGTTCGCCATAATAAGGTCAGGCTAGCTCTACGGTCCATTATGCCGTACAGACAAACGCATATTGAATGTTTGTGTTTTTGTTATAAAATTACATTTATTTACAAATTAAAATATGTTGAAATATATTAATTCTAGAAGCCTTACCTCTTTAAACAAAATTAAACGTTTTAGTAATTAATATGTTATCAATAAATAATGCATGAATATTGGTGTTTTATTTCACCTTGTCCCACTAGGATTCCCAATTTTAAACTCTTGGGTGTCGTAAAACACATGTTAAATTAGAGCCAAAATTTTATTATAAGCTGCACGTGGACAACTTTAGTAAAGTAATTATAAATAAAGTGACAGTAAATAAATTTGGAAGAATATTGCTTGTAGGTACACTTGACAGCATATCAGGACTAATGTACCTACATTTTTGTAGCAAATTACACTAAACATTACGATTATCATAGTGTATAGCTTGCTGTGACATTGTTTGTAGCTACAGAAAGTTCTCAATAATATTTAAACTTATACTCCCTTATTACAAAAAGTTGACTGGTTGAACTCTGGTTTAAATTTGACATTTACTATGGAAATATTTAAACCAGTGTTCGTTCTGGGTTTAACTTTTTTTTGTAATAAGGGGATTAGGGCACAGAATAATAATAAGTTGATTAGGGTATCATTAAAAATGTTAAAGTGAATGTAAAATTGCAGATTGTCTCCGTAGCATGTCCACGGGTTACGCATCCATATTGTTTCACATCCGGGACGAATGCTGTAACGTGTCTGATCCTGTCGAAACTCGTCATTCGGAAGAAGACAAGTAAGTAACTCTAATAATATCTCAACAGTTTATTATATTATCAAACAGATCAATTGGCCCTTGCGCGTGTGGTGCCATAGATACTTGTACAATCATACACCCCATAACTCATATTAATGACTGTTTGTGTTTTCAAAATCACGTAAAATTAATAATAATGTCTTCGGCTGGTGGTCTAATTATGAGTCTATATCCACCCATAAAAGTTATCGAGTGTCTACCAAGAGCCACCACTCCGACCATAGACCAGACGGTCTATCGACTGGTCTACGTCTTCCGTCCACCTGTGTCCTGTCCGACCATAGACCAGACGGTCTATCGAGTAGTCTACGTCTTCCGTCCACCTGTGTCCTGTCGATGGTTGCACTTGGATACGGCCAGCGCAAGGCCGGTCGTTGTGGGAATCCTTGGGGGAGGCCTTTTTGCAGCAGTGGACGTCATTTGGCTGAAACGAACGAACCGAATACAGCAGCGTCGTGGCAGCGTCGTGGTTCTACTTATATCCAGAGGAGCCAGATAGTGTCCACTCAGGCTCAGTCCCAGCTCTTTCTTAGTTCACTGACCTTCGTGTAAACTTGACCATAAAATGAGATTTGAGTATATTTTTAGTCAGTCGATATTCTTCAGGTGCGCGTAGATTGGCGAGTTCAATTCCAAAAGTTTAATTGCTAATATGAAGCTTGCTATATGGATCTGATTTCTCCTTTCGCAATGGTGTCTTATAACTGAACATATTTTAATTTATCCTCTACTGATTTAGATATTTTATCAGATAAGTTAGTTATGTGTGTCTGTTAATAATGTTGGATCATTAATATTTTACGGCAGGTTTAAATTAAACCACACGGTGCATACAACAAAGTATTATTTATTTTTCATAACATCTCAATCGCAATCTGATTATAATCATAACATATTCATAAACGACATAAAATTTGTCAATTCATTCCACATTCGGACGCATGCTAAACAAATATAAAATTCACAATAAAATATAAATATACCATGAGCCAAATCTATTAATTGTGCTTACATGTACTCTGGTGTAAGTTATATTTATCTCATAAGTGCTAAAATACGAAAGGCCATTATTTAGTTCGCAGCACATACACTCTATTATATTATTGTATGACAGTTATATTCATAAGATTTATAAATTACTCTAACATCATGCAACTTCCGTAATAGTTGCCAGTAAATAATGCTCTAACAATGCAACTAGTATAATAAACATCGTTTAAAATAACTGCTCCAATAATTATTCGGGTTAATATTCACTTGACTAAAATTCAATTATTCACCTAGGCATTAAATGAATATGTTAGAAATAATGATATGTGGTTATTTGTATACGAATAAACTATTTAACATCAAAAGTAACAATTAAAATTTATATATCACATAATATTCGTAGAAATTATATCTAGTATATTAATATTATTTTATAATAATATCTTATGTGGTCCTTTGTAACGCACTACTGCTAACCCGTGCCCGCTTTTGTGTTGCTTCGACATAGTTCCTGCTTCTAATCTAGCCATGCCAATATATTATTTTTCATTAAAATTTACCTCTAGCATTGCTAATTAGTCCATACTGCGTGCTACAATAGCTTTCAAATACGCTTGCGTTTATATTCTACATAAAACTACATTAGTATTAAGTAAAGTAAAAAATATAAAATTTACTGTGCGGCACTGTGCAAGGCTATGGTTATTAGTACCTCTGTTGCTTAATTTAACTATGGACTGATTTACAATTATTGCCGTGGCTCTGTATCTTAATTAAATATTAATGTGCTTATTATGCATATCTCGCGAACCTCTAACTCCACGTGCTGTCACGACGGTTGTCGTAAACAGTCGGGTTCAACTGTAGGTCGTCGTGGTATCTATTGGAAGATCTGCGTGATAACTTGGTACAAGTTACATGGAAGTCCTATGGAATCACTATCTAGTTTATTGTTAATGCGATGATTACATTGCTTGTGTTAAGGGTTTAGTCTGTTTTTCATTTTTGCAAAGATTGTGAACATTGCTTAGATTTATCGCATTTTTCGAGCAACGACGTCGTTGCAGAGGCGGGTACGATTTGCATTGCTTCATAAGTTTATTGAAAAACAGACGGTTTTATGGTAAACGAGGTGTCGACCAGGTACATAGGTAATGCTTAGGCACAAAGTGGGCGCTGGGCCGGTGCTAGCTAGCTCGCGCGGGCGTGGTATAGTGCGCGGGGCTCGTGTGTTATTCGTTCAGTATGCAGGTGCGCATGAGAGCGTCGACCACGGCGTAGGGGTCGCAGTTGGAGGCCGGTCGTCGGTCCTCCAGGTAACCCTTCTTCTCTTCAGCCACCGCGCGCGGTATCCTGATGCTGCTGGCGCGGCTTGCGACTCCTGTAAAGATGTTGGAGAGTTTAATTAAATCCTAATCTTTTATCTTCTGTAGTAGGTGTGACCTACGACAGTAACACTTTTAAGAGTAATCTAAATTATTTCTGATCGGTAGCCTTTTTAGCGCCAACATGGCTAAGTATATGTATAGCGTAATTGCATATTAATTAGGTCTCGCAGAACGCTTATTGCTGACACATTTTAAGTTGAATTAATAATTGCTATTGATCGATGTATCGCTCGCTACTGTTCAGACGTCATTTATTATTAGTAATTACCTGTAATTTTTAAATTAACACGAGCCGTTCGACGGTGTCGCGAAAGAAACAAACGGTTCCGCATTCATAAGCTACTGCAGCTTATAACATCGATTGAATTTGTAAAGAAATGACCTACAAACGTAGGAAACACTTTTTATCGATCAGTAAATGTAATTAGCAATCGGTAATTCAATAAGGAACAAAAATCTCATTGTTAGTCTTGTAGGCCGCTTGATTTACTATCAAGGAAGTCAGTTTATTCGACGTGCTATTCACCGTTACTACTGCGGAAATTTATTTACAAACTTTATGTAGGCGTATCAATGATTACCTGAATAGATATAATACTAAATCATTATTGTGTTGATTTATTTACCAGTTCCTCATATAATTTATATAGGGAAATAACAATCAATGTTTGCGGCAGTATTATTTTGCTCCACCTACTTAAAATGTACTGCGACAACAGAAGTTCTACGCATTAGATTTAAATGCTTTTATACAAAACAAATTATCATCAATGTAGGTTTACGACATCTACGGCATCTACAAAACGGGAAGAGTGGGAGTTGACCTATTCTACTCTGCTGAGTAAATATGAAAATTTGTTTTTCCGATCTTATTTTGTTTCACTACGCGTGAGCTATTGTTAGTACAATCAGCGTCAAATAGTTCGTAACACCGAAAGTGGCCAAAAAGTTGACAACACAACCTTATTCCAATGAGGGCGGGCTATCGTTTTTATACTTAACAGTTGGCACCCCTGGCGATTGACAGGACCTTACTCTACAGTGGCGCCATCTTGATGAGTGCAAATGCGATAGTCCTCCTACCACTTTAGCGCTCACAAGTTGGCGCCACTGTCTTCGCGACTAGCAAGTGACAGGACCTTACTCTACAGTGGCGCCAACTGGTGAGCGCTAAAACGATAGCCCTCATTGAAACAAAGACGTGTTGCGAACTTATTGGCTTACCTTGGGTGTCACGAACTATTTGACACCGACCGTACCTACATAGATAAATGACGTTTAGTTGTATGAATGGTGATGTTTACCTGCACTGAAGTCATTAATACTGGCGGTTTCGTGGAGGCCGGTCAGACGCCTTTCGTTGTCCTTCCCGCCGCGCGGGTCGTACACCTTGATGTGCTTCATGTGCACTTTAGACAGCTTGTCTATCGCCTTCTCGATCTCACTGCAAACGTGATGCAAGTTTAAATCAACTAGGTCAAAGGAGTTCGACAATCTGCTGCTATTGAAAAATCGCACCCATTAATACAACTGGTTAAGATGCTGCAATGTTTAGTTATGCCGTAGTCTGTTTGAGAAGCAAAAACTGCAACGCTCTTGAAAATTTTTAGTAAATAATAGTCCCGCTATTCCCACATCTCGTTCTCACAGCTGCAATTCCTGTGTTGACAGAATCTACTTATAGCTTGCTTGTATAGTGATAGGCAATAAAATCCCAACCAGTGAAGGTCAAGTTTGACCCGGGGGAAAGTTAAACTGTCATTGGACCCGCAACGAAATTAATCAGAAGAACATAGGAGGAACTCGAAGTTCGTAGGTACTGAATTATTTTGTTTAAAAACAATACCCCGAATAATTGTCTACTAATTATTAAATCGGACAAATGAGAAGCATAACAATTACTCATAGTTATTTATGTAAATGACAGTGAAACCAATCAACCTTTAGTAATCAGGTCTTGAACAAAGTTAAATCTTTTAACCTAACAATAGGAAACAATTATTTTCCGGTAAAGTCAAGGTTTTTGCCATGTAATCTCAAGAGAGCATCTTTGTTAAAACAATGTATTCTGATTGTAACGCTATTTTATTACAACCATGTCTAAGAATGTACGGATGACGGCATTTAAAAGCTATGCACTACCTATGCATGGCATCAAGTAATTTTAATAGGTGCGATTTTGGAACCAAAAACAAAAATGTTTGCTATTCTTATTCAGATCTTATCTGCTTTATCTGTGTTACTAGCTAACATTAATAGTATTCGATATAGCTATAGTAAAGATCCAGAGGTCTCAGGTTCGATTCATAGCTAAGTTCTTTTAAGACCGCTTAGCTAGCTTATCAAAGTCTATCACCATAGTTATGGTTAGATAGCCAGTACCTCTAGTAGGAAAAACTTTCGAGTTCGTTTCGTTGCGTATTCAAAGTGTCATCGAAAAATTTTATATGAAAAATTAAACAGCGCCCCCTATATTATAGCCGCCCTAGGGGGCGCTGTTTAATTTTTCATACAAAATTTTTCGATGACACTTTGAATACGCAACGAAACGAACTCGAAAGTTTTTCGTACTAGAGGTACAGATCCTCAGTGGTGAAGTGAAGCTCGCGCCTATCTTCAACCTGATCATCCATCAATGAGAAGATACAGACAAAGATCTAAAAAATACTTACATAATACCGTTCTCTTCTCTCATCTTCTTCGTCGAGAAGTTTGTGTGGGCGCCAGATCCGTTCCAGTCCTGGACCGGCTTGGGGTCGAAGGACACGATGACGCCGTACTCTTCGGCCAGCCTGTGCAGAATGTATCGGGCGACCCAGAGGTCGTCGGCAGCGCTCACACCGACCGATGGCCCCACTTGGAACTCCCACTGTGAGGGCATGACCTCCGCGTTGGTGCCAGAGATTGGGACTCCAGCGAATAGGCAACACCTGTAAGTGACAATGTTTTTTATTGTCTGAAGAGAAGGACGTTGTATGTATTTAGACATCAGGCAAATTTAAAGGCCATTTTTTAGGGTTCCGTATTTTATATTTAGACTGTCGTGATAGAATATATGCTTATGTTAGAATCTTTTGAGCTTTTGGGGATGGGTCTGTTTCACCGTTTGCCAGGAAAGTGTATGATAACCTTCTAGAAACTTATCTGTCGGATAAACTATAACTTTTAAAGTCTTAACGGTTTTTAACTTTTTATTTGCTACAAACTATCAAAAACCTGTGAAACTGGCCTTAACATATTCGAAATTGTTTATTGCCTTGAATATTGTTTGTCAACAAAACTAGGTGTTTAGTGCATGCCTCGAGAACCGTGGAAATTAACTGCATAATTAACGCTAGCTGGCGGCATTGCGCGGTTAATCACTGCCAGCGCGGGGGTTTCAAATTAGCTCACATAATTATAGGTACAGTCATGGCTGAAACTGTCTGACCTAAAAAAATCTGACTTGCTTCCCGCTAGATCAGTACTCAGAAGCTGGAGCTCAGAGCTGCAGTCAGGCGTCAGATAGTTTTTGACACCCAAAGTAGCCAAAAAGTTCGCTACACGTGTGTGTTACACAAGAATGAGGTTGTGTTGTCAACTTTTTGGCCACTGTGGGTGTCACAAACTACTTGAAGCGAACTGTACTTCTTGCCAATATAATCTATCAATTTTTGTACCAGTAAACCGAATTACATTAACACCGAGCTCCCATTTATCTACATAGTCATTTGAATTAACTTGCATTGATTACAAAGCGAAGTAAATAAAGTAGGTAAGTAATGTAATTAGTAGTACTAGGTAGGTAATTCGGGTAGCCCTAGTGATGCTCTACCTCTGGGCTTCGGCTTGACACTACTTTTTGGGACACCCTGTATAAAATAAGTCATCGATAAGTTAGGTATGGAATTTACTTAATCTTTTTATTTTTATGATTAGCTATTATTTCAAAACTTCGAGTTCCGGGTCCAGAAACTGTTTGCTTGTTTTTTCGGTCGATATGCGTCTTATTATAATTATTATTCATGTTAATAACATCTGGCGTGTTACCTTTAATGGAGACATTTTATACCTGCTTTAATAAGAAAAACAGAACTTGTTTTTGTTATGCTTCTGCATATCGACAACAAACTTTCATATTCATCATACGTAGAAGTAAATGCGTCGTGGTTGTAAAGCAGCAGCACCAGTCATTTGGAATGCGTTCCGCGTCGCCAAAGGACAGTAACTAGGTAGGTAATCAATCTCAATATATCAGCGTAAGTTAGTATGCATATAATCGACCTTTATTATAAGTCAAAGAACCAATTTTATCCCTTATTTGGAGTGACAATTACATATTTTTAGCAGGAACACAAAACACGCACGTTTTACTTAATTATACCTACACCTTTGAAATTCTTGTTATTCCAACAAAACTCAGTTCCCTATGATTATACGATGGCTTTAAGGTAGAAATCTGAAGGAAAATGGTATTTAATCAAATTAATTGATTAAGGATAGACCTCGTTTAAAATAAACAAAGACGTTATTTATTTATAGCAACAAATAAGGCCAACGACTATCTAAATGGTCATTTATCTGTTTGTTAGTATAAACTCTAAAAGAAAATAACGGAAAAGTTATGCTCGTTTATTCTTAGACTGTTTTTGCTTGATCGTTCTTTGCTCAGAAAAACAGTAATGCGAAACTAGGTACACCTAATAATGGCAAGTGGCTATTTGTCTAATGGATATAAATATGTATAAAAAACCCCAATACGTTGCCGAACTTTCAGAAACTTGTGCTTAAAATGTTGTAACGCCAGTCATTGCCCCATCTGAAGGAATAAGTATGTAAGTCATAAAATGAAAGGTACCTGTAATGTGCCTCTACAAGATCACGCGCGAAGACTTTGTTGGCGCCCACGCCGCAGTAGTAAGGGCCCTGTGGTGGGGGGAAGCCGCCTGGTGGCCACCCGAAGGGGCGCAGGTCTGAGTCCAACAGGATGTACTCTTGCTCAATACCGAACCACGGCTCTTCATCGCTGCACCTGTCGTATGCTTCCTGACATTTGACACGGTTGTTGCTGCCTGAAAAAAGATGTCGAAAATCATCAATAAATTCAAAGCTATGACGAAAACACTGCAGTAAAGCAGCCTGACTATAATTTACTGACCGAAATCGACCCATTTGTCTTCCATTTAGTTAATTAATCTCGAGCCTCGAAACTCCTATATGGGTCGGCAGGTCAGTAAACATCAAGCTTTTACCTAACTAAAAGCTGAAAGGCAAAGGTTAAAAGTGGAAAAAGATGAATGTGACCTCCCCGTGTAATCAAACAGGCTTCGTTTGCCTACGCTGAGAACCAAAAACCAATTTCGTTAAAAGCATCTAATGAACTTTGGTATTAAACGTTAATATGTCACGTTACATTGCTATTAGGTTTTTACGATAACACGGCTATGATACTGTAAACAAAGTTCTAAGACTCCGACAAATGCACGTATGTCATGCAAATCATACAATGGTATGTTACGTTAAATTACTATAATTATGTAAAACTTTTCATATTTTCTATCTTTCTTCGTGTTCTATCTAAAACATAACGAAGGATGAACTCACTTGTGGGTTCCATGTTGTACTTGTAGGTGTCGCTCATGACCAGGATGTGGTTTCCGCGGCGGAAGGGGTCCTTGTAGATGGCACGCGGGACGAGGAATGTGTCGGAGTTGTGACCTTCGGCTTGGCCTGTGGAGCTACCGTCGAAGTTCCAAATGGGCAGCTCTAAAAATGGGCAAATAATCAGGTTTCCACGAAACGGAAAATTGTGTTGCTATCGGTACTTTTCTAGCTATAGATTACTGTCTTGACCTGATCTACTTAGTAGTCTACAAATACAGGGCTATGACACTACTTATTCCTGAAAGTACGATCTTTGGTCGTTTCGAATTCTGACTCATCCTGCATTTTAAAATACTTAGTACTACAGATGGTTAAGATCAATATTAAATGTATACCTTTCAGATCAAGAATACGGCTAAATTCGTATAATAAGTATCGAAAGGTCTTTGTAAAAAGAAAACTCAACATATGTGCGTCTTCATGAAATTCACTGAATATTTTTATAGCGCGCATGTCATTGGGTACTTTTACATTGACTCGTGCTGTTTACTGTTTATGAGTACATTCATCCTGTTGCCAGTCATAGCACGTATCATACTGAAATTGTATATGCACGTCAGAGCATATACAATTTCAGCCTGCTTCAAATACCACGTCCTACTTTGCATTTCGCAATAACTAACTATACATTCTAGCTATACTGCTACATTATATCCACTGACTAGATAATTATTTATAACAACTCCTAAGAAAATTCCATCTACGAGGTATTTTTGAAACTGATTGGACGTCACGATGAGTAATCACTTTACTAGACGAGAAATAGGTACCTACAATCTACATATGACATACTCGTATACAAGTAGTTACATTTCTACGACTGCGGATAACATTATTGCTGTGAAACCTTTTAAATTCTCATCAAAGCTTTCCCTATTTTCAATTTCCCTTAGCTTGCAGCGAACGTCGTATACGTTATCTAGGTCCGTGGGGAAAAAGTAGGGGGGCAGAAACTCGAGTGCATGCGACCATTTTAGGTTTCTTCTGACGTTGCACATGAATTTCTCGTTCATTTCTTCTAATACACGTGCTAGTTTATCTACAAATCGTAGAACACTCATGTTAAGAGTTCATAAATAGCGTAATGGCGACCTATAGATACTACACGGCAATGTTTACCAACATCTCATTCGTCGAAGGTCGAATCATTTACATAACTGCGCTAATTACAATTGTTAATGAGGATGTAATAAAACCAGGCTAGCTAGCTAGTCAATGGATAAATTGGTCGACTAACAAAACGGTTTTAGACTAAAATAATAGTTTATTTATGCGGGTACCAAAACTAGCCTGTAATAAACAATTTCAGTTGATTTAACTGAAATTTGCATGTTGTTACAACATTGGTACCTATTAAATAAGTATGTACTCAGATTATGAGATGTTTTACAAAGCTAGAGTGATTCATTTATTGTACATAAGTCCAAAAATTTTACTGTACCTAATGACTAATATGAATCTTGATCTTTTAAAATAATATATTAGTACCCATCCTGACAATTCTATGAATAATAATGTCGACAGCTTCGACAAAATCGATATCATCGCCCCAACAAGCACTCTCTAAATTAAAGGTATTCCCGGCAATTATTTTGTAATTAAGAATCAAAACAAAGAGTTTGGGTGCCAACATGTGCTGTTGCTAGGTTGTTGATAGCTACAATAAATCAGTGTAACATTTCTGAACAAAACTTTTGACGTCGACAGAGGTCCGAAAAACATTTAAATAATATCTTGCATCTTTTTATTTTTGATTTTTGTGTAGCTCGTGTATTTAATAAGTATTTTTGAGTTGTTCGTGTGTCCAGCATTTGGACCTTGCGTCTACGTATTGCCATCTGGCGGATTTTTCAATCGCGAAAACCCTCATTGATTAGCATGCAATATTTTTAAGCTGCGCGTAATCAATATTTTTGAGTAGCGCGTAATTAATATTTCTGTGCGTAATGACTATTTTTCAGTGGCGCGTAGGCAATATTTTTCAGTAGTGCGTATCTAATCTATGTGTATTTAAATTGGAGCGTAGTTAATACTTTTCAGTGGCGTGTAATCAATATTTTTGAGCAATATTGTTGTGGTCCCGTTTCTTACCTTTTGGTACTTTTGGAATGAAGTTCAGCGTCCTGTCCTTACACCGCAAGTGTTCCCCGGTGCCGTCGATCCATATGTACGTGGCCAGGATTTTATCAGCTGGCAGGGGCAGGTCGTTGTACCTGCCCAGGAGTGTCTTCGATAGCACCGCATTTGGAGAGTTAGTCAGGACAGGCCCAGATAATATCTTCGGGTTATCTGCGAACATAATAATTAAGGCCGGGTAGCAGTGAAAATGGCGAAAATGAGGTTTTCATTTTTGATTTTTGAGGTACTAAACATAAAATTTGTTTTTCGGCAATAACTCGGCTATCCGATGAGACTCGAAAATTTTTGTAGGACACTTTTTGTAGCTTTCTTTGTGCTCTACAATAACGCCCGAACCATTTTTAGCGTATCATGCATCGTTATCGAGATATCGATCGATAAAGTCAAAAATTTTGGACACAAATTATTTCGGAATAATTAAATAATTAACGTCAGATACGTACAACATAACTTCGAAGGAAAGGTTGCAATCATATTCGACGGTTATCCGACTGATATGACACTCGCTGGAACGAAAACTTCGGAAAGAGTACGACGTTCGAGAAAAAACCAATCGCCGGAGTTCACATTCGATGAGACAACTACTCCAAAAGTTAGCCAGGAGAAGTTTCTCACAAGGGATCAAAACAAGAACCAACTAATACAAATGCTTTGCCGTTACTTAAAAAAAAGTAATTAAAAAGTAATTAAAAGTAATTAAATTTTACTTTTTACTTTTTAATTAATTATTTAATTATTTCGGAATTTTTCATATTTATTAAGACCCAAAGAAAAAAAAAGAAAAAAACAAAAATTGTGTCCAAAATTTTTGACTTTATCGATCGATATCTCGATAACGATGCATGATACGCTAAAAATGGTTCGGGCGTTATTGTAGAGCACAAAGAAAGCTACAAAAAGTGTCCTACAAAAATTTTCGAATCTCATCGGATAGCCGAGTTATTGCCGAAAAACAAATTTTAAGCGTTTTCCAAGATGGCGGCGAAAGCTCCTAGGAAAGTTTGGTCGACAATCTCAAGTTAAGCTTTTCTAGGTATCCCCTACAACATATTAAAAAATTAGAAGCGCAAATTCATTTTCTTTTATTTGCCTTTTTTTCGGACGAAATGACTGGACTATAACAACAAAAATAGTAATAAATACAGACTGTCAACATTTAGGGAATTAAGCTAGCTGACTAACAGACAGACAATGGAGGCTTATTATTAAGATTATGTCGCGCCTTTGGGTACGGAACCCTAAAAAGGTCGCTATATTAGGGAGCTTACACATTGCGATTTATTGTAGCGATACAAATGCGCGACTGCATCGCGATTTTATTATCGCGTGTGTTTAAAGGCAGATGTTTCGATGCTGCATCGCGACTGAATAGCGTTTGTATCGCTAAAACAGTCACAATGTAAAAGGGCCTTTTGATAGTTCTTTATGTTTTTGCCCGTAAAAGAATATCTGAGCAAAGCAAAATTTAATTGTTCGCAGACGACTGTGGCTCAGCTTAAGGAGAAGGTTCGAGATCAGATGGGAATAGAGCCGAGCCTGCAGCGTCTTATTTTTTGTGGAAGAGTCCTTCAGAATGAGAAAAAGCTATCGGATTATGGTAAGTACTACTAACACTATAGGATTAGGTATTTTGCAGAATTTCTAGAAAGAATGCAAACTTGGTATTTACGAAGTCAACGAGATCTACGAGTATAATATGTACCTACCTACAATTCAAAACTTAAAATAATGATGTCATCCAGACCAGTTTTTCGAATAGATCTACATAATGCAGTCTTACATAAACTAAGTTGGTTGACTAGTTGAATAAGTTAAGAGTTCTACTATGCTTAGGTGTGATGTTGTTTTTGTTTGACAAAAGTGTACTGAAAGGGTGCTCTTACAAATTGTAATTATGATTAAACTATATCTACTACTGGTTGAATATGTACAGGCACAATACTGTACATTTTGTTGTTGACTGCTGTCGACTATAATTATGCTAATAATAAATGATTTTTTATGAGTTATGTCTTATTTACTCATAAATATAAAGAAGAAAATCGCCAATAACGCCAATTAATTAAAAAAAAAAACGATATTTTTTATGATGTGATATTTTTATAAATGTATGTTTGTACATAGACGTCCAAGGCAAGGTGGTGCACCTGGTGCAGCGAGCGCCTCCCGGACCCGAGACGCGGAGCTCCAACGCCCCGCGGTTCTCCACCAGGAGCCGCCCCCAGATGCACGCCAGCACCACCTTCGGCGGGCCCCCCGGCGACGACGGCGAGTTCCAGCAGGAGATGCGTCGGCTGATGGTTAGCAACCTTCTTCATACGTAACTACGCTCCCCGGGAGACCGGCAGCTCCAACGCCCTGGGTACTCCACCAGGAGCCGCCCCCAGATGCACGCCAGCACCACCTTCGGCGGGCCCCCCGGCGACGACGGCGAGTTCCAGCAGGAGATGCGACTGGTGCAAAAATGAGCCTTCTATACCAAAGTGGAGGGGTCTCCATACAAATCATTGCACTAAATTCCCTACTAGAGTAACTTATCATAAAATGTTTTTCCAGTCGCTCAAGCTTCCAAGGGCCTACCGATAGGTCGGGTGACGTAATCTTGAAATTCTTTAAGCTGGCGCAGAACTTCCAGAAGGTCAGGCGACGCCACGGCCACTTTGAACCGTGTTTACTTCTGCAGTTATATTTCATATTTATTCGATTCTAGAATATATTCCCAAAAAGTCTGTAAGGTGTTTTAATTTGTATCACTTGGATATGATTTGTATTAGAAAGTGTTGTGAGTGTGACGCTTGAAGGGAAGGAAGTCGACCTAACCTAACCAACTGCGTATTTCTATACTATGTAGCTGGAAATTGTGGCGGGAGCTCTTTGGCGCGCTGTCTTCGGCGAAGAATTGCGCGCGCAGATTTTGACAGCGCGAAATACCTACTTTAGCAGAAATACCAAGCCTTAATCAGTAATGACCCGGCAACACACATCGCGATTAGGCTTAGCTTTTGTCTGAAATAGTCTTCTTACGAATACCTACGGCTGAAAAGGACTTGCGTTTTTCTATCAGAAATACCAAAACTCGTAAATAGAACAAGCTGTGAAAGTTTTGATGAAAATGCATTTTAATGAGCCAATTGTTTCCCTACAACGTTATAATGTTTAATTGTATTTTGTCCTAAGGTTTGTCCAAATAGGTAAGTTCAAGTCAATGAAAAGTAACAAACCTCCTCGACGGTCTGTAACAGATTCCGACATGTTTACATCAGTCAACTGATAATATCCTTTGACATTTCGCAAAGAAACTGAAACTCGATTTTCCTGTTCTGGACTGTCCTAATAACACATTAACGTAGAAATAACTGTGCGCGTGTTACCAAGCGCTGTGGAACTCTCAGCAGACGTAATATAAACAAAAGATTTCGTTAAAACATAATTATTACTCGTTCTTATCGCGGCTATCACAATAAATTTGACACTGAATGACGTGCGTATTGTTTTTCGTTGCACGATGATGACAGTTACGTGTACATCCAGTTCCATGCCTTGTTTATGAAATAACGTCGCGTCGGTTGTCTTCGTCATTTATTGATTACTTTATCAACGAAAGTGTTGGTTAGTTTCTGTTAGTTTCCTTGTCGGAAACTTTGGATTCGTCCGCTCGATACGTAACGATAACGTAGAAACTATCAGGATACTTTAATATTGCTGAAATGCCTTAGCTTCGATTCCACGAACAAACAAGTAATCGCTTAAATACTTGGCAACTTTGCTTATCTGATTGTAAGTTTCTTATATAACTTGGCAGTATTTTAACATAGGTACATAGCGAATCAAGTTGGGAAAGAAAGCAAAGTGCTGGCTGGTTTACTAAGCCAAAGAAGCGTCACGAATATTATTTTTGGAGATGCTTCAATGAAGGAGATGCCATTATGGCACATTAGTCGATGAGATCGGATGCCGTGTTAAGTGAGAATGATTCGTGTGTGTTAAGTGTAAGGTTTAATTTTGTCAGGATTCCAAACATGCATTAACGCTCGGCCCAATGCATCGTTTTGGGTGGTAGTTAAAAGAACCGTAATTAATCTTACCTTCTATCTTCCCGTGTGTATCTGCCATGTTGCTCTGCTTTTATTGTCTGTAACAAAAGAAAGATACGTTATTAATTGCTATTCAAAATATTAAAGCCGTGGGTATTGAACGCTACAGCCTCAAGGGAAATAAAAATTCTAGGAACATCCGTGAACTCATTGCTTAGAAACTAAAGGTATAGCTTCTATTAATAAAATGATTATAATATTAGACTTTTAGATTTATAAATAAACGATAATTATCTAAATAAAATTTATACGCAAATAAGATACAGTGGAACTAAATCTGCTGGTCATTCTTATTTATAATTTCCTTGACATTTACATTGATTATAAAATCTAATGCTTAACATAATGCCCACGGTGGCAAACGTAACCCCCTCGTCTTATCGCCGACAGCATAGAGGTCAATTTTATATTATACAAAAACATTTACGACTCCAGCTTCAAGTTTAAGGCCGCATATTTTTAGTGACGTAATTTTGACAGAATTTAATATCTTAAGTGGGTACATTGGGCCACTTTATGATGGGCCAAGTTGTCCTTGGAATAGGTATTAAATTGACACTTGTCGCCGTGTGAATAAAATACAAACAGACCCTTGACACAAAACGTGGTTATTTCGTGAAATCGATTGGCGTGTTGCCCAAACTAGCTGTAGTACGCCCACCGCGTGGAGGCAGGCACGACCGCTGCGTGGCCCAGCGACAAAATCAATTAAATGCCCAACTTCTTCGACTGACTCTTCATAATATTCAAATATTTTACTCCTAAATTATACGTAGTAGCTATCGGTAAAATACTACTTATTGCATAACATTTAATTCTGTCAACCTTGTTCATAATATTGCGTGTCGAGTTGACTTGAAATGCGTAGTAAAGATCGCGGCTAATACAGCTGATAGCCATTAAAGAGTTAGCTATGAGTAATTTTTATATTCCACAATATTATAATCAATGGCGCGTAATATTATGTTTGCAGAGTGCAGTCACGTTACACGTTCCTCTTACAGTATTCCAAGCTGGCAGACGATTAGATTTATGTCATGCCTAGCATACATGAAACTGCGGCGCTATGCTAATCGGTTTAATTTATTAAAGCGCATGAATTTATCATAAATAAACCAAGGTGATGTAAATAAACATGCTTTGTTGTAGTTATAGAAACGTAGGGCGTTGCTATGTCGAGCCCTTTGTAAAGCCGCGAGTANAGCTTTTACTTGAGTAATGACGATTCTTTCTTGCAAATTTTAATTTAAAATGTCAATCTTATTATTTAGCTATACGAATACAACAAAAAAGTTAACATAATTCCGTATTCTTCATTACAAGGGTACATTTTAACATAAAAACTGGAGATTTTTTAAAAAATACTTAAATCTTGAATAACTTGGAAATGAACAAGTTTCGGACATGGTGTCATATGACTTAAATGACTGCAAATAAGCTCTACTTTAACCCCTTTCAAGGAATGTATCGCTTTACCTGTCACCCTGTATAATTGTGCTACAATCGCCAGAAGTAAATTCTTACACAAGTAACCAGCCGCACTACTATAGTCTTTTTCACCTAAGATGATCCGTATGACGTTTCGAGTTTGATAAATTTAGAGATGTCACATAACTAAACCATAGCGATTTATCTATCGATTTTATTCGAAGAGTTAGTAAACCTACTTTTAGAGAAATATTTTGTATAGGTGTTATTTAACAAAAAAACAGGTTTTTTTTAATTACAAATATTATTGTAACAATTTTTTATTGATAATATTCAAATTTCATGGTTCGTGTTAAAAAAAAACGATTCCTAAAAAGTACTGGTTCTGTTTATTTCAATTAAAAACTATTAAATTTATTTTCAATGCGTTTATTAAAGTGAATAAACGAAAAATATAGTTGATTTTTGTGATGTTTTTAATAACTAAGTATTTACTGCAATCGATTAATGAACCGCGGAAATAATCGATTTTATTATACAAGAAATACCCCAGCACTAAATCTATTCCGTTTCACACATTGCGTACATTAAATAAAAAATATTTTTACAACGTATTTAATTAAAATATAATCAACAGACTCAGATTTTACTGTATATTTCAAGACAAGTAGTTAATTTTTTTTTTATTATATTGCTAATAAAATATCTTTTTTTTTTTCAAAAATATTCTGCATATGTAGAATGCGTAATATGGATAACCTTGAAGTGTCATACGGATCATCTTACGTGAAAAAGACTATAGTTCCGAACGTTGGTAAATTTACGGACGTAAGTAAGAGATTACTTTTCAATTTGTCCAATAGGGCTACTACATAATATACTATAGTAGGTATGTGGTACTGGTTGGCTGTGTAAATGCGGACAAAGTAACTTAAGGTCTAATGAATAATACATGCGCGCTCAAGTGCGGGCCAGGCTGAGAATTCACTTAGTAAATAGCTAAGTAAGTAGGTATAGATAAAAGACGTTATAATCAAAAACTAGAAACCCATTTCCCTACAAATATGCTAAGGCTGAGTTGCACCACCTAACTGTAACGGTAACTATGACGATAACCGGTGCTTTTTGTATGGAATTTGACAGATTTTTTATGTTTATCAAAGTTAAAGTATGATGGTGCAACTCAGCTTTAGTTTATTAAATTATTTATGATTATTGATATATCGGTACCTACTCTTTAACTAGAACAAAATCTGGACCTTGCTAATATGTCATCATCACACTAGGAACACAAATACTTAATTGAAGATCTATGTATACTTAATTGTATACAATATTATAAAACTGAAGAGTTTGTTTGTTTGCTAGTGAATGCGCTATAAGTTCAGGAACTGATACTTTTTATGTTGGATGGCCTATTTATCGAGGAAGGCTTTAGGCTAAATAGCATCACCCTACAACCAATAGGGGCGGAGCAGTAAAGACAAATGTTGCAAAAACAGGAATTTAACTATTTTCACGCACATTAAATAGTTTTGTACTACGAGTAGGTTCGTAGTCGCGGACACAGATATTCTATAATGTAGGTTATAAAATCACCTCAGTCTATTTTACGTTGTTTACAATCTTTGTCACAGATTACTGTATATTTTCCTGCTGTTTACTGCAAGATTTCATACTTTATCATTGTTGTTTGTCAATTCTTATTAATAAACTATATTATTTTTATTGATTACGAGTGGGCACTATCTAAGTGGGTTAATACGAGTAGATTAATGACAAACACTAATGACGCAGAAAATTATCAAAACAAACATCGTTAAAACATTAATAATGCAATTACGAAATTAACACACATTATATTAATAGTTTTTATATCCATTTGTTTTTACAGATGGTAATTAATGAGCCAGAAAATTGTATGTTACGCTAAAAATTTAGAAACTATTGTTACACTAAAACATGATTTTACGAGACATACATTAATCTTCTCTTTTTATTTCCGCTATTTTAACAATTGTAAGAAAAAATATTTGGACACAATTAGTATTTTAGAAACATGTTTTTTTTTTTTTTTTTTTTTTTTATTTAAAAACCAACAGGGATACATTGAAAATATTATTTATAAGATTTAGACTGTTAGTATAGCCAATGAAAGGTTTCCCTTTTTATAAAAGTACATTGTTGTTGGGAAAAAATATGAATAAAAGATGTTAAAAAAATGATAATAATTAAAAATAACAAAAACTCACAAAGAAGCAATTCATTGCGTCAATAATAGTCAATGGTTTCTGAGTGCCTTAATGACGTCCCTTTTAACTGTAAATTTAGTACTTGCAAAAAGGTCGATGTGTGCAAATTGTTTATTGAATGCACTAACAAGTCGCGACAAGACTGAGTTTCGATTGTAATTTGTATAGTGCTGGGGAGTATCCAACAAAGATACGTTGCGGGTGCGATACTTCGGAGTACGAAACGTGATCATCGAGACCAAGTCCGGGCAGTCAATCCTGCTATTCACTACATCGGACAACAAAGCCATGTCCAGGACAACACGCCTGTGCTCCAGAGATAAGAGGTTATGCTCAATACAGCTTTCTGTGTAACTACTAATGCTATTACGACAGCGAAAGTTGAGGTGATTTATAAATATTTTTTGAATTCTTTCAAGACGGTTTTTGTAAACTTTGTACTGCGGAGACCATACGGAACCAGCATATTCCAAGACACTTCTAACGTATGCAAAATACACCATTTTGATTGCATCGATATCTGAGAATGGCTTACAGATGCGAAGAACAAAACCCAGATTTTTGTAAGCTTTGCCGATAACATATTCAATATGGTCGGATAGTATCATTTTATGATCGAAATACACGCCTAGATCCCTTACATTTAGTTTTCGACTGATTTCTGATACTTTTTATCCCGTTCGAAATAAAAAAAAAGTCTGCTTATTTATTGTCATTAAGGCGGAACAAAGTTCGCCGGGTCAGCTAGTTTGTTCATAAATTCATGTTTCCAAGTCGATTTCTTATTCTTTTTTTAAATTCACAGGTGTAAATTAAGTGTAGATACAATTAACTCAATTTAATGTTTTGTAATAATACAGGGTGACAGGTAAAGCGATACATTCCTTGAAAGGGGTTAAAGTAGAGCTTATTTGCAGTCATTTAAGTCCTATGACACCATGTCCGAAACTTGTTCATTTCAAAGTTATTCAAGATTTAAGTANTAAGGGTTAACTGTATTTAGTACTTGCAAAAAGGTCGATGTGTGCAAATTGTTTATTGAATGCACTAACAAGTCGCGACAAGACTGAGTTTCGATTGTAATTTGTATAGTGCTGGGGAGTATCCAACAAAGATACGTTGCGGGTGCGATACTTCGGTGGTGGTGGTTTTTGGTGTAACTTATTTATTACATAATATTCTAAGTGATAATAAACAAATATAAATGCATCAACAAATATAACATCGTGTATCAGTCCATCAGACACTTGAGCTAGCTTTCTTTATAGGTAACTCCATATTTATATGCTGATTTCCATGATATGGTTGGAGCAAACGACTGAACCTCAAGTATGAAATCAGAACAAATAATTACGTCG